ACCAAAGTACAAGTGTGGGAAGGACATATGGTTAGGTAGAAGACAACATATGTCTTTAGTATGCACTTACAATGCCGTTAGTTTAGACAACATCTGTTGTTTGTTTAAACAGCTTTTTTTTTTTTTTTTCCTTTTTGTAGGGGGAAGGGAGCAATCTGTTTAAAGGGGACCTGCAGAAAGAAGTGGGGGAAGCCTTTGTGTCTGCTTTCTTATTTCTTTTGCTTCCTTATGTTTAAGGAAGAATTGCTTTGGCTTGACTTAGCTCTTAGGAATATCAGGGTTTGAAGCATTACCCTTGTGGTTTTGATGCAGGTGCTGTGCAGCTGCTGCAGGCCATGCACGGGGAGCGGGGAGCGGTGCTAGCAAAGAGCTGCTTCCCTGGGCTCTCCTGGGGAAATGTCCTCTGTATTTCAGAGGTACCCGGAGGCCTCATGCATGACTGGGCCCTGCAGGGCTGCTTGGTCTCATGCTCCTTTTCTGACTGACTTGTCTTCAGCAGCGTTAGGGTGACAGGTCACTGCAGTTCAGGTGTCCACGCTTCTCCCTGGGAAGAGATGCTACTCCCTTCACCCATGGCTGTCCTGTTCGGCACGCAGCTCTTGTGCCCGCAGCCACCAGGAAGGGCACAGAGGGAGCAGGAGCCCTACAGGAGGCCCCTACTGCCCCCAGTTTAACCCAAATGTGAGACTGAGACACCTACCCAAGCCCATGGGCCTAAGCAGCCATCTCAGATTTACCAGTGGGACTTTCCACCCCAAACCTGACATACCAGCACCTCCTTCCAGGCTTTGAGAGGCTCCGTGACCTCCCTCCTCTCCACCTCGTTTTAACAGTCATGAGCCTGTAACCAAGATCAGCTATGAAAGAATTTACATAAAACCTCACACGTGGAGCAGGCCAGAACTTGGCAAGTGCGGCTGTGTTTTGCTAAGCGTGTACAAATAGCGAGGCAGGCTCGGGTTTGGCAGGAAAGAATTCCCTACTCAGTTAATAGGGCTTTCACATGTGCAATCTCTCAGATGTCTCAAAGCAACTAGTTTGCCACTTGTCCTTCTAATCTCCAAGGGAAACCAGAGTAAGCAGGCCTGGATTTCTGTTGTGCTTGTTGTTCTAAGAATTCCTAAACTCCAAAGAAAAATAGAGGACAAAACAAGAGGTGAGCGTCATTTGGCAGATGGGCACTGTAATTTCTCACCTGAATACTTCTAGTATTTGAATTTGAATTCTTTTAGGGCATCTTGGTATTGTCAATGTATTATCAGGTTGGAACTTAGATAGCCCTCAGACCTCACAGGCTGACCAAAAATCACAGATTCAAGCACAGCAAACTTGGGAGGTCTGCTCTATAAGTTCAAGTCCAAAGTTTCAGGTCTTTGAATTGAGAGAGGCATACAAAAAAATTAGCTAAGGAAGAATCATTTTAAGTATAATTCAACATTATCCCCACTCATTGTTTATCTGTTATTTTCAAAATCTCATTTTACTGAGGGAAAAATCCATGTTGAGTCTTTCTAGGTTTGGAAAACAACGATTTTCTTCTATCTTACTCTGAAAAGAGGTTCTTAAAACTAGTAAGCAATAAGATTCCTCTTTACAGAGACACAAAACAGGAAGCAGAGGAGAAAAACACTGAATAGCAAAACATTTGCCACCTTTTTCGGACATTTTCTAGTAACTGTAGAACTGTCACAAAGTTGCATGAAAGATGTCTGCTCTCAAGCAACTTGTACTGCACAAGTCACAGGAGGGAGCCCTAGAGAGAGTACAAAATCAACTGGAATGGTACTTGTAGAGTAATCACTAATGGTTTCCTCTCAGGGTGGCCCTTGGGATTCTACAGATGTCTGGTCTGGATTCAGCATGGTTTAGTAATTTACTGAATATATGACAAAGTAAAGAATATGTTTGTTGTTTTGTTTTGGATACAGAGTGGTGAGGGACTTGAAAGGAGGTTAGTTGAGAATGTCGGAATTCCAAATGAGTTTGCAGGTCTGGAAAAATGTTCCCTAACAACATATATATCTAGTAGACTCAATGCTGTGCGATGATGGATGGGGACCATCAACTAGATAGTACTCGTTGCAGAAACACCTGCAGGCTGCAGTAGTTCAGAAGCTGAAAGTGTCAGGAATGTGTTTGTCTTGCATAAGAGAACATTGCATAAGAAAGTCATTGATCTTTCTTCCTAGTCATCTTGCATCTAGCCTTGCCTGCAGAGTTCTACAGGTGTGAACAGATTGAAGAGGATCCCAAGGAAAGCAGCAAGAGTGATCAGGTCTTGCAAAAAAGACTTAGGAGGAGTGGCTGAAAGAAGGGTTCATTAGTTGAGGACTAATAGAAGACAGCATGCAAGTGTGCAAAAGCTGCTGAAAAGAAGAAATAACCTACCTCCCACTATATGACAGAAAGAGAAGTGATGAGCTTAACCTGTATCAAATAACTTCTGGCTTAACATTAAAAACAACAACAAAAAAACTTTTCCAGCTGTTAAGATTTTAAAAAGTACTCAGGTACAGTGAGGTAGCAAAAGTTCTGCTTTGGGGGTTGCTAGCTGAACATATCTCAGAACTCATGAGAGTGGAATTCATCCTGCTTGGGGAGTAGGGCTGAACTAAATACCTTCCTGGCTTTTTCTGGCCTCATTTGCCATGATACTTTAGTCCTGTTTTCTTCAGGCTCGGTGTGTGGCTTGTTTGTTCCTGCATCTCTTCTGTCTTTCCATGTGTCTACAATTGCCCAGGGTGTCCAGCTGGGGCCCAGAATACCTCACTTCTCCTGTACCAAAAGGCTGGATGAATTTATTTTGACAAACTCCACAGTACCTCTTAGACCAACATAGTTTGATATCAGTGTTCAGCAACAGTATAGGCACCTAAATTCCACTTTTGGACCCACTGTGCAGTAACTAAACTGCCTAACCTGCCTCAAAGCTGACGTCTTGTTCAGAGTGGGACGTACTTTGAAGATATGTGAGTTTGAACACTGGGCTGACTTCATTAAAGGACAAATTAATGTACTGGAAATACATTAAACAATGTTAAGTAGTTGCAAGAGGTTTGGTTAAGGAGCAAATATTAAATTTGTCTTTGAACAACATTTAACTATTGTATCAGATTGTTTTGTACCAATCCGTATAATATGCCTTGTATTTGAGGATACTTCTTCCTGTCCAGAAGAATGCAGAAATAATTTTAATTTTATTTATATGAATCCCTAAACATATTTGTATATGCAGGAAGCTCCAGTTACATTGTAATTAGAGTAACATGAGAGTCTTAAGATCAAGAGTTCAAATTTATATTTGTAAATATTCCACTATCATCTAAAGTACTCTTCAGGCATGTTTATTATCCCCATTTTCTGATTTATCGAGTTGTCATACTTTTAAATACAAGCCACACTAGCATTAACATAGAGATAAGTTCAGTTATGCACAAGACCTTTATTACTTGAACTTTTGAAGGATCCTAAGAGTAAGATAATTAGAACAAGAACTTTAAATATGCAGATAGGAGGAAGAAAAAAGTAAAGAGTTTGCAGACTTTTGCAGAGCAGAATGCCTAGGATCTTTTCCTTTCATCTAGGTACCATCTAGATGATTATTGGTATTAAAAACTGATAAGTATTCATATAAAAAGCAAAAGAGCAGTATGGTCTGTTGAGCCTTTCCCCAGCCCTCAGCAGGAAAGGTGTAGGGCTTTGGGCGATCCTGCCATCTTGCAGATGCTTCCGCGGGGAGCTCTGAGCTATTCCTGCTCGAATTCTTCAGAGTTTGGCTAGAGCTGCGGCTGTTCAGACAGCTCGGAATTGTCCCTGGAAATCACGGAGTCCAGGCTCTGATCTGCTTCCCTCCTCTGAGCCACCTATGTAGAGAGAAGTAGCGCTCTCTTATTCTGAGATACAACTGTCCTTAGAAGGAACTGCTCTATTAGAAGCGAAAATACTTAGCAAGCCAAGTTTCAAATGTAGTCCTAGGCACTGCAGCAGTGTCTGGCCTGGGGGGTCACCCCCTGAACCTGACGGTGAGTTTGGAACACCAGAGGTTATCACAGCAGGCAGGGCGATGTGAAACTCCCAAGGAGCAGGAAGCACCCTGACGTGAAAACATTCAACGGGCCTAGAGGGGACATGGAATGTAAAGAGCGCAATTTCTGCAGGAAAGTGCCTCCCTGTCACGGTTGGGAGGAGCATCTGGAGCTCATGCACTTTCATGCTGCTTGCTTGAGAAGGAAGAGGGATGTGCTTCCTCTTCCAAGGGGCTGACCACATTCCCATCCTAGGATTTTTCCTTCCCCAGCCTCCATTTTATGGGAGGTGGGAGGATATTGCTGAACACACCTGTGATTTAGCCTTTCAAGTTCTTTTGGCTCAGAGCTGTGAGCATTATCTACTGCTCCTAATGGCTTTCTGCTATGCTTAATAAATGTGTTCTTCCTTCCAGAGGAGGCTTTGATAAGAGGACATTAAGTCCTCAGCAGAATCAGTTGCCATGAAGGACTACATGGAAACTTTCTTCAGTTCATCCCACCTTAAAATGGTGCCTTTTAACAAATTACTACCTAGAAAGCAATGGTCTCTCAAATTAATGTGTTTTCTTATTCTCTTAAATGCAAATCTTTTACTGTGCATGAATACTTTGCATTCATGTGATGCTTTTTATGGAAGGCTTTCAGCCTATGTTGTGTTTCCTTGAAAAGAAGAAAGCTATCTAAGATATCTGTTTTTAATTAGACCAAACAAACAGTAAGCAAGTCATGGCCCTGATTCTGCAAGCTGATCCCATTGATTGAACCCAGCTCTCGCATGAATTCCTAGGGAAACAGAGGCCTAACTTCAGCTGCCTTTCTTCTGGAAGTGAAGGAGCTCAGCTGCACGACATGATTAGTTTTTAAGCAAATAACTTTTTGGCTATCAATGGAGGGAGCCCAGGAGGAATGACCTGCAGGTGTGGAGGAAAATTTCACTTCCCAGCCATGCAGTACTAATTCTTTGTTCTCCTGATACAGGATTAGAGCTCAATGGGAAAGAAAAAGATCAATGGCGTTTAAGGCTTTGTCTGTATCAAGGGTAGGTTTTTTATATTCTTAGTACCCATAACTGGGACCAGATTTTTCAATACTACTCAAATCCCACTAGATGCTTAAGTATATACAAGACATTAAAAGCAGCTCAGCACCAAATGCAGTGAACTCCTGAAAATCCATGCACTTATTTAGATGCTGAAGTTCTCTTTCTGGAAATAGAGTGTGGGTTTTTTTTGTTTCTTCTTTTTTTTTTTTTCCAAAGATGTAAAACCCCAAAATAGGACTATATAGTATAGGTGATGCTTCTGTGAAATTAATCTGGATGCAAGTTGACTGGTCTACAATCTGGTCAGCTGCTATGGAAATTTCATCAGCCAAAATCTTCTTGTAGATCCAGCCTGCAGGTAAGCAAAATATTTAGGAGAGAATTAAAAGTGATTCAGTGCTTTACTGAAACTTGACCCAGAAACTTCTTTGAAGCTTTAAAAGTTCTTTTATTAGTCATTCACATTATTATACTTTTGTGTTCCTATTTCTAGAATTTTGGTAGATTTGAATAGACCATTTAAAACATAAAAAATTTATTTCCAGTCTTTTTAACTCCAAAAAATAGAAGAATAAGTTGTTGACGATTGACTGGAGGCTTTTGGCTTGGCCAGATAGAAATTGACTGTGGCTGTCTTAGAAAAGATCTGTTAAAATGCTTGCGGTTGGCAAACGTGTGTGTGTGTGTATGTTTGTGTATATATATATATATATATATATACGTATTTGAGGGGGGAGATGAATTTAATGCACATAACTCATAAGATAGTCAACACTCTTAGGTCTCATTCATCTAACTTTTAGATTGAAAACAGATTATCCAGGCATATTTGAACCAGCTGAAAATACTTTTATAAATGCTGTTTGGAGAGGTCACAGTGCTCTAAAATACACAGTTTCACTTTGCTAATGTAGCTGATACAGCTTGAAGAACACTTTGCAAGTTTAATATACAGGTAGGGTGATCATGTGGAAACCCAGCCTGGTTGGATGGTCCAACTAGATTGACAGGTTTCTGCTGTTACGTGTTTCTGTATGGAAGATAGGCCGGCTTGGTTTGAGTTTTGTGTTTTGCTGAAAAGGGCTGTTAGTTGAGACTGCACTTTGAGAAAGTTGGAAGTTTTGGGGATTTGGTTCTTTTGTTGTGTTGTTTTGTTTTGAAGATATAATGAGGACTTTGCGCTGGAAGCCTGCAGCAATGCTGTTATGCTGTGATTAATGTCACTGTATAATTCTGACAAGCTGAAGCCCTCCCAGGGTGCTCATTCATCACGGATCTCTCTATAGCTCTTATTTATTTATTGAACAACATGTAAGCACAGTTCCCTTTTTTGTTTAACGTATCAGCATTTCAGTGTATGTGGACTTCAAGGTTTCAGTTTTGTTGACAATAATGAGATCATCCAGACAATTATTGTTTGATTTTTCACTTCACTAGTGAGGAAGATTAAAGAAAAGTTAAGGAGCTTTGTCTGTTTCCTGTTACCCATTTACTGAGGGGGAAGAAAAACTAACTGTTTAAAATGTATAAATTATGAGCCTTTAGATCCCCCTCAAACAGTACATGAGGAGACTGCGTACCGCTAGTTCAAGGGCATTGTGAATGGGTCAAGTTGACTTTGTGTCCGGCCCAACCACAGTTGGGTTTCCCGTGGAGGCAGCAGGTAGGACCTAAGGGCTGAGTCACGTGCCCAGTCCGCGTGCAGGGAAGCTCTTCACCACGCAAAGGCCTTGCACGAGAAGCTGTGCCTACTACTAGCGTTTGGTAGAGCATCCAGACTCCTGCAGACTCCCTGCACAGCCACGTGTTTCTTTTGGAGAATTACTCTGGATGGGAACTGAATGGGAGCTTGTGATGGGATGGCATGCAAGGTTCAAAAAACCAGGAATGTTCAGAATCACAGGCCTGGAGGGGACTATTGATACTGCTCACGTTCTTCAGCACAATAAAAACACCTCAGATGCTTCTGTGATAGGTGTTGTGCAAGCAGAGTCTGCAGAGAGGGATTCTCCAGAGGGATGTGAGGCTGCCTGTAGGAGATGGGGCGGCTCTGGACACTTGGAAATCAGACAAAAATATCAGGAAGTTGGAGGGAATTCAGAAGAGAGTCACAAACATGATTAAAGAGCACGAAACGATGATGGTGGGAAAAGATGAAAAGAGCTAGATGAGCACAGCTATATGATGATTAAGAAGACGCATGAGCGTCTACAGCTAATTGAAGGGTATATGTAAAGGAAGGAGAATAACTGTCTGGGGTGTTATGAGGGCCTGTGACTGGGAGTAGTTGGATGAAATTAATCAAGGAAAAATTTAGGTTGGGCAATTTCCAAACAGTGGGCCATATGTTCCCTTCTGGCGGGGAAACGTGTGAAGAGGAACAAACGGCTCCACAAGCCATGTGGCTTTTGAAGTGCAGCTGTTGCTCCGCGTTCCCTCCTGGGCCTGGGAAAGGAAGGACCAGGTTCTGAAGTGCGCAGATTAGCAGCACGAGCATTAGAAAAAACAGAATGGCCGGTTAAGCTTCTGCAGCCCTTGAAGTCCCAATTACTAGTTGCTCCTTCGCCATTCGGTCTAGCCCATTTTACGGCCCACATATCTCCTCCCTCCACCCAAACCTTGATTCCCACTGCAACCGAGCTTGGAGGTTTGGGTTTGGATCACTGGGAATGCAACTGTGGCTTTGAAGTCCATGATTAATGTGTGGACAGGTCTTCAGTTCAAGTTATGTTCAAGTGTGCTGTGCTGGAGGATGGATAAAGAGGAGGCTTGTACTGCGTTATTGTTGAGCTTGTAGCAGTGCTCCTGACTGCTGTGCAGCAGTGTTGAATTCCAGTCCTGACAAACACTTAGTAGCTCCATCCCCTTGGATGGTCCCTGTGGAGGCTGCGGCCGCTGTATTGGGTGGGACAGAGCTCCTCGTGCTTAGCGGGCATGAGTCCTGCAGAGAAAGCAAAGTTGTTTTCATACTGTGCTAGATCAGGAACTCAATCCACGGCTGCCAGGCTATTTGGTCCCAAGTATGCGGCTGACCTCTTCTTTGGCAATTCTAGGAAGAGCACAAGTAGCCATTTTGGCAAACATGAGACTAACTCTTGCTTTTGACAGGTTATTGACTTTCCTGAGTCCTAATACCCACCAAGCTCCCCCAAAATGCTTCCTCCCTCCTTCTTCTCCCACAGCTGCACTCCAGATTGCCCAGAGAGGAATTGCTGTATCTTGTTTGGGGATTAAATCCAACTATTCACGTATCTTAGCAAGACCGAATTCTATTCATTCAACATTAATTATACAGTCATTGCTGATTTCTTCATAAAAGCTCAGAGAAGTAAATGATGATGGTATTTTGATTTTTCTGTTTGCATCTTTCTGAGAGAGGCACTTTGTCTCAGATGGTTCTCCTGTTTCCAGATTGTAAACAGACGTTGGTCATTTGAAGGCATGTAGGACCAGAGGAGTTTGGAATCTTAAATCCATAAAAACTGTTGTTTTAGAGAAAGGCAGTATTTATCCATTTGCCCTATATTTTGTGGCATCTTTTGTTAACAAATCTTTAAATCTTTAAACAAATCTCCCAGAATTTCCCAACACACATCTACATGTAAGCATCTTTCATGTTTTCTTTTTGTTTATGAAGGAGTTTAGAGCATTTAAACCAAAATGCTTTAAAAAGAAGAAGTAACTTACATTTTGCACCACATTAATTTTATTTGGATGAAATTTGCTGCTGATACGAAGAGATAAACTGTGCCAGCTTACGCTAACCATCGCTTTGGCCTACAGCTGTTTGGGCTGGGCCTCGTGCCTTTCTGCTAGACTGTAAAATGTACAGACAGACCGAGGATCATCGGTCATGTGCTGACAGTAGTAATTGCTGTGTTTTATAAACACTTAAGAGTCTGTAAGAAGCTTTGAGTTCTCTTGTATCAACATATACAAGTAAATAACACCACATTAATCAAAAGCTAGCAAAGAGTCTTTCTTCTCAACATTCATTTTAATCATCTCCAACACAAAACAATAAAAGTAAGAGACCTGCGCCCAAACGGAATTAAAATTTCATCAAAAGCACAAAGGCAGGAGATTTCTGCATTAACTGAACCTTGGCTTCCTGCTGTGGATCTAGATACTGCTGAAGTTCCCTAACCTTGATTAGTGTCGACACCAAAGGCTATATGTTAGCGTAGATCAGCTCGCACAATTACCACTGACATCTTTAATCTAGCTTTTTCGGCAGAAGAGGATATAACAATGTGTAATGCCTAGAAGCTGGAAGCAGCCAAATTCAGACTTGAAGTAATGTGCCCATTTTTAACTGGAGCAGTAAATTAGTCTTTAGAATGATTTACCTAGGGACATGTTGGTTTCTCCATCACTTGAAGCCTTTGTAAGACTTGGTTTCTTTTTAAACGAGGTTGTGTAGATCAAACAAAAGTAATGGTTTTGATACAAAAATTAACGGTTGAGATTCTTTGGCCTGTATTACCCAGGAGATCAAATGCGATGATCAGAGAAGTCTATTTTGCTATAAAATTTATTAATTTTGTCAGTGTATTATGTATTCAGTAAATTAGCTATAGATAAATAAATACTGAGATATTTGACTTTCATTTACTTGATATCTGTATAAAACATGGTTATCTTCAACACTTGATGTATGAAGAAAAGCAACACCTTGTTTGAAGGAAAAAAATAGATTGGCAGGCAAGTTACCAGGAATACTGCTACATATGTTTTATTTTATTAGATAGAAAGGTTGGATGATTATATTAACATGGGAAGGGAATATTGCTCAGGGTTGCAATAATTTCTAACATTTCATTGTCAAGACTTTCTGATTTTTTAAAACTGTCTGTATAATAGTGTCTGTTTTCCCCAGGACATCTTAACAAAGAATTTGATTAATCTCTGTCCATGGAATTTGCAAAGGAGATGTATATGGAGTGTGTGTGTGTGGGGGTGGTGGTGTTTATTTTATTTCATCTTGCTTTTAGTAATAAATACAAGAACTTAAGTCAATTTGTTTAACAAAGCAAACTAGGTCTTGGTGAATCACCTTAATAGGTTTCAGAGATGACTTTTTAATTCACAGCTGGTCTTAAGCTCTTAAAAGCAGAAAATGAATAAATTATGTCTTTTAAAAGCAATAACAACAAGCTCATGTCTAATGACTTCATGGAACAATTTCAAAGTAACGTTGCCCCAATGGAAAAGTGGGAGCTGCCTGTGCTCCAAATGGGCTGCACCTGCGTGGCTCACGGTTGGAAATGCGGCCAAGGGCTTTACGTGCGCGGCCCTGCCAGGCGTGCGGGCGGCGTTCGGATCCAAGGGGAGGCCGCGCTCCTGGCACCGCGGCCG